CACAGACATGCATAGAGAGATGATGCTGTGAGGACACGGGGAGGAGACAGCATCTTCAGGTCCAGGAGAGAGGCTCAGGAGGAACCAGGCCTGCCCACACCTTGGCCTCAGCCACCCAGCCTCCAGGACTAGGAGACTGGGGAGCTAACAGCCCTTTCCTGTTGGCTGCCTCTTCCCCAAGCTCAGCCCCCGCTGCCCATGCCTGTCAGAGCTCACATCCCCCCATGCCTGCCAAGCCCACCAGCTCACCTGCAGCATCTGGAGGGGCCCATGTGTGCTCCGCTCCTCCAGCTGCAGCAGCAGCAGCTCCAGGGAGTGACCCTGCTGGTCCAGGCAGGCCACGCTCTCCCGGAGTCTGCTGGCAGTCTCCTCCTCTTCCCTCTCCAGAGCCTGGAGGAGCCTCTGCTCTTCCTCCACCAGGTAGAGGTTCATCTTCTCAAACTCCAGCACAATACGTTCTCTCCGCTCCTTCACCTTGCCCTGCAGGGTGGAGAAGCCCGGCATGTCGCCAGCAGGTGGCTCGGCTCCAGGGATGCTGGCACCTCTCCCCAGGGCCCTGGTGACCCACAGATCACCAGCAACCTGAGCTTTAGTTGGGGACCAGGAACTGTGACAGAGGCTGCCACCCCTGCTATCCTGTGATACACTGAGTGTAACCCTCTGAGCCCCAAACTGCAACTTTCACACATCCAAACACCCATGCACCCTTGCTCTGAGGAGGTTCAGAATGTTCACCCCCAAATAAGCCTCTTGGGCATGTTAAACAAAATTTATGGGTGGCCATTGTTTTTTGTTTTGTTTGAGACAGGGTCTCGCTCAGTTGCCCAGGCTGGAGTACAGTGGCACTTACTGCAACCTCAACCTCCTGGGCTCAAGTCATCTGAGTAACTGGGACCACAGGCATGCACCACCACATCCAGCTAGTTTTTAAATTTTGTGTAGGGACAGGGTCTTGCTCTGTTGCCTAGGCTGGAGTGCAGTGGCACAACCACAACTCACTGCAACTTTGACCTCCTGGCCTCAAGTGACCCTCCCACCTTAGCCTTCCAAGTAAGTGGGACTACAGACATGTGTCACTACCACCATGCCCAGCTAATTTTTAATTTTTTTTTAGAGACAGAGTCTTGTTATGTTGCCCAGGTTAGGGTTCAGTGGCATGATCATGGTTCACTGCTGTCTCGGACTCCTGGGCTCAAGTGATCCTCAGGGGCCACTGTTTTGAACTGGGCTCCTGTGCTGGGTCCCAGAAGACCAGACCCAACCAGAATGGAGTCACTGGTGCTAATGAAACCAAGGGGTTCATTGATCAGGTCAGCCTGCCCTGATTGCTTTTTGTTATTTTATTTTTCCTATTTCCATGAAGCTGAAGGCCGTGCCTCTGAATGCTGACCAACCTTCACTGGCTGCTTTATAGATAATATTCATAGGTCACCATGGGACTGGTCGCTTCAGGAACATGGGGCAGCTCCTGTCCAGCTGAAACTGGTTGAGACCATCTGCCCTTCAAGTGGACCGGCCCCAGTGCCCGAGGTGGCCTTTTGATGTCAGAGGGCCAAAACTTCCAACCTCAGATCATGCTAAGGCTGCCATTTCTGGTACCTGTGTCCTGTGAAATGCCATGCACCCCAGAGACACCTGCACAGAATGGGCCTGCTGGACCACCCTGCCTCCCTAGCTCATAAAGACTCCTAAGCTGTATCACTCGGGAGGCGAGTTTAAGAGCTGTTCTCCCTCCTCACTCGGTGGCCTTACAAATAAATCTTTCCTCTTAGCTGGATGCAGTTGCTCACACCTGTAATCCCAGTGCTTTGGGAGGCTGAAGCAGGAAGATAGTTTGAGCTCAGGAGTTCAAGGCCAGCCTGGGCAATAGCAACTCCGTCTCAAAAAAAAAAAAAAAAAAAAAAAAAAGGCCAATCTTGGTGGCAAGTGCCTGTAGTCCCAGCTACCCAGGAAGTTGAGGCAGCAGGATCACTTGAGTCCAGGAGTTTGAGGCTGCAGTGAGCAATGATCGCATCACTGCACTCCACATCTCTAAATCTGTTTTGATTTTGTGTTTTGACAGGCATTAGGATTAGGGTGAACTAAAGGCCATTGAGAACCCGCAGAAGCAGGAAAACCTGTTTGCCTCCCCCATTAGCTGCCTAAAAAAATAAAGTGCCTGGCCTGGCGCGATGGCT